AAAAAAAAAAAAAAAAAAAAAAGATTCTTAAGGTTTTTGTTCACATGTAGAAGCATTTTTAATCCTCCTGGAACCTAAGACAGCCTTTAACATACACTAAGTGTTCTGTAAATACTCGTTGATTGATCTGTTATTTCTCTTCCTAATTCACAGTTAAATAGACGTAAAGTCAGGACTGAAAGGCAATGGAGTGTCAAGGTACAACGATAAATTGGAAAGTGCCAAATGTGTTCACCATACTGCATTCATGACCATCCCATTTATCATAGGCATCCCATGGATACCTATGTATCTATATATTGAAAACTGGTCTAAGGTTAAAGTGACACCACATGTGCATAAAATAAAAATCACTGTGATAAACCTTCTAATAAATTGTCAAAAGTTTTTCATGTCACACCTATTCAGGTGTTCTAATCTGTATGATTCTGATCCCTCCTTCTAGAATGGGATAAGCCACCTTATGTTCTTAAAGAATAACCTCAATCATCCAGCCCAGGTACCTTCCAGGGGAAATGTGGTGCAAAAAGAAGAAAGAGCCAATGGGTTAGGGGCTTCTGCCTGCAAGAGGTCGCTGGGTTGGTCTGGTGTTTATGAGTAGCAGCCACAGCTGGGATACAGAGCAATGGTGCAACAACGGCCAGCAAAAGACCTCGAGGAAGAGTACAGCAAATGCAGCAAAGTCTGGGTGAGTCCCCAGTTCTACTGTCTGTAGCAACAGCTGCTCCTTACATCCCTCCCTGCAACTCTGACCACCCCCATCCTGAACTCCACCCCCCCGGGGAAAGGAGCTGCGTCATCCAGCCCAGCTTGTGCTCCTATGTGTGGTGATGGGGAACTCCCTGAATTCCTGTTCCTTTCCATGACTGACTCCCTGTACCATTTCTGCTTGTAAAAGTGGACTCAATTTGTGCTTCCCTGGTGGCGCAGTGCTTGGGAGTCCGCTTGCCGATGCAGGGGACACGGGTTCGTGCTCTCAGTCTGGGAAGACCCCACATGCTGCGGAGCGGCTGGGCCCGTGAGCCATGGCCGCTGAGCCTGCGCGTCCGGAGCCTGTGCTCCGCAACGGGAAAGGCCCGCGTACCGCAAAAAAAAAAAAAAGTGGACTCAACTTAACTGTGGGGCAGTTGTATGCTTGTTAAATTAAACCAGACCTCATATATTTATACTTTAATTTTACAGAAACTAATTTAATTCACACACTGCTTTTTATAGGTAGGAGTAGACGTCTCCTCCTACTAACAAGGAAAATGGGAAAATCAAGCTGAGAGCAGAGATCACCCTCAGCTGAACGTCTACTGCAGTTATTTATACCATTCTTTGGCATTATTTTAAGCAAGTACCATGCCCAATTATTCCTAGCCCGTGCCTAAAACACTGAGTGCTGAATGAATGATAAATGATTCATCTCTGTAATTTCTACTTTAGCTCCAAGCCTTCTACACAACAAACACACAAATAATGTGTTTAATGAATTTACTCAAATGGTTAAATTAAGATCATGTCTAAAAGTCTCACTACAACCCAGGATTAGGTCACATATATTTATTGCCTACTACCTACCAAACAGTAGTTAAGTACTGGCCCACAGCAGGTACTTAACAAATATTGACTGAATGATGGAATAAAATATAAGATCATATTAATAGCATCATACTAAGATTACCTGGATTCCAGGGCCTTTGATTCCTCCATCTTTGAGTCATATATCTGTAATAATTCCTGAGAAGTTTCCACATTGAAATTAAGAAACTGCAGATCACGCTGTTGTTTTATGTAAATCTGCCATAGATATTGATAAATCAAAATAAAGTGTAACAACAAAGCTAAACTGAGCCAATAACTGGCACTTTGAAATATGCCAAAACAGATCAGATAGTGACTAAAGAACTATGCTGAATATGTTTGCTTTTATTTTTCCTATGTTAGCACTGAGATTTGTTAATGTAACTAGTCTCCTAACCTTTAATTACCATAAGCAAGACCCTATCTGCTAGGTTAATGTGATACACCTTTAATGTAGTCGGGACTCCAAAAGCATGATAAACAAAATCACTGGGCATACACTTTTCCTAATTTGATGTTTGTTTATAAGCGTTTCCTACCTAATAGAGAAGGGTAAGTGGGAACCTACCTGTCTCAGATTATGCAGCTCTGCGCTCATGCGTTCTTGCTTTGACTTTGCCATATCCAGTAACTCGTCTTTCCTTTTTTCTCTCTCTACTATTTAAGAACAAATATTATTAAAACGTTTTTCACCAGCCCATATCAACACAAACCTCTTCATTTCCAACAATTTTATGCGCGGCTAACTTTTTTCCCCCTCCTTCCTGAATTTTAAGATTGCAAAATGGATGGCTGGAAAGAGTTTTAATCAGTGATTCTGACTAGCTCCTTCACCAAATTGGAAAACTTTCACAATATAATTAATGTTAAGTCAAAAAAGTATTCAAAACTGTACCAACTCTCTGCTCAAATTACATGTGTGTGTCTGTATGTAGATATGCATAGAAAAAGGCTGAGAGCAAGCATGCTGAAGTGTCAAATTATTTTTTAGATGGAAGGATTAACGACAATTATTTTCCTCTTTTTTTTTTGAGGGGGTGGTTTCTAAATCTCTAAATTTAATACATATTACTTTATTCTTTACTTACTTATTTACATTACACAGGTAACTTACAAATGCATTTTCCTTGTAAAAACCCAAACAGCATATTACCTTTACCAACAGAAAAAAAACTAACATTACAAGGGGCAAGAAAAAAAGAAAAATCACTATTTTCACCAGTATGTAAGTCAATCTGATATAATCTCACAATCAGGCCACTTGTATGTATTCTCACTGAGCAAAAACTGAAGATATGTGGACCTATGAGGTGACCCCATAGGTAGACAAACTTGTCTTTCCATTTTAATGAAAGTCCAGCGCTCCTTTACAGACTTTTTCTTGAAAACTCTTTACCTGATGGGTAATTAAGATTCAGAATTTTCTTTAATATACATAGTATTACACTTAATTTTCTAGCACAAAAAGACAGAACAGAGGTTTTTTTTTTTTTTAAATCTTCATTCTTTTACAAAGACCATAAACATTCTGCTGAAACGTAGACACTTCGCTGTTACTAGAGTTGGGGTATGAGAAATCAGTATTTTAAAAAGTTTCAGAACTTGGCATATGAGAACCCCCAGAAAGGAAAGATCTAAAGTGCTATACGAAGACTTGTACGGGAAAAATATATTAATATTATGCTTAAGGGGAAATAATTTCATTCACGTAGAAGTGATAGATCAACAATAAATGTCTCACCTAAAAAAACCCACTATCTTTATAAAAAGTTCAAGCTAAATGCATAAAATGACCCTCTAATTATTAATACATGAATCGATTTTGAGTAAATCAGGTGCAGCCTAAATCAAAATTTACAACTTCTATGGTTTATTAACAAAGCACCTTTTCCACATGTCATTTTTCTCATGGATGAAAAAGAATACAAATATTTATTATTATCGCTTTACATTTGGAGCATCACAGAAACCATTTAAGGACAAAGACATGAGCTTTGCTGGAGACAGCAACTCTACCTGGACAGCTTTTCTGCAAAGTGTCTGCTGGCGGTCACTGGGGACCAGGTGGAATAAAGCGTGAGGAGGGATCTATGAAAGCCACCACCTCCTAGCCAAACACACTTAGTGCTCAGCCCTTCTGATACGGGTCTGCAGCAGCATCTTTTTTTTTTAAAGATTTTTTTTGATATGGACCATGAAAATTTTTTTTTAATTTATTTATTTTGGGCTGCATTGGGTCTTCACTGCTGCACGTGCGTTTTTCTCTGGTTGTGGCGAGAGGGGGCTACTCTTCGTTGCGGTGTGCGGGCTTCTCATTGTGGTGGCTTCTCTTGTTGTGGAGCACGGGCTCTAGGCACGCAGGCTTCAGTAGTGGTGGCACATGGGCTCAGTAGCTGTGGATCGCAGGCCTAGAGTGCAGGCTCAGTAGTTGTGGTGCACGGGCTTAGTTGCTCCGCAGCATGTGGCATCTTTCCAGACAAGGGATCAAATCCGTGTCCCTTGCATTGGCAGGCGGATTCTTAACCACTGTGCCACCAGGCAAGTCCAATGTGGACCATTTTTAAAGTCTTTATTGAATTTGCCACAACATTGCTTCTGTTCCATGACTTGGCCTTTTGGCCACAAGGCACGTGGGATCCTAGCTCCCCGACCAAGGATCGAACCCTCACCCCCTGCATTGGAAGCCAAAGTCCTAACCACTGGACCGCCGGGGAAGTCCCGCATCATCTTACCTTTTTTTTTTTTTTTTTTTTGGGT